CCCCAAAACCCCAAAACCCCAAAACCCCAAAACCCCAAAACCCCAAAACCCCTGGGAAAGCAGAAATTTTGTCAATATACTAAACCAATGTTTAGGATAATTAAGCTTTGGAGGAAATGGCCTTTCAAAGCTGGAAGCCAAGGTTTAGACACTAGAGATTGGGAGATAATGAGGGTTTTGGGAATCTAAGGTTTAATTATCAGGCAAATTATCGAGATTTTGTATATCACTACTGTTTCTACCTATAGGCTCTTCGGTCTTGAATTCTTCTCTTTTCTTTGGGGTTTTATTCAGGTTATGTTCGGTCTCTTGTGGATGGGTTACTATTTGGTTGTGATCAGCTTCGTCGACGAAGTTGTTTCTTCTTCTATGGATTCTTAACTCGAGCCAGTAATGACCAGGTACAAGATACCATTCCATTCCTTTTTCTTTATATTCAGTTTCATTTAAATTCTTAAAATAAGCTCCAACTTTCTCCTGAATCATTCTATTAAGGTTGCCTCCGGGGTCTTCATAAGCTGACTCATCCATGGTCTTGAAGAAATTGATCAGGCTGATAGTGCATACTAAAGTCAGAGAGATACCTAGCAGTACAAATGTGAATACTTTATACCAAAGATCATTTTCTGGAAGATAGTAAGCCATAATTAGGAAAGGGATCGCAATTATCATCGCTAGCAATAACGTAAGCTTATACCACAAAGGAATTCCCTGACTGTCCATTTTCCTTTTATTTAGAGTATACTTTACCCATTAGTTGGGAGGCTTCAGTGAGGACAGTATCAAACTTGTCCTTAGTGAGTATTCCAGCAAGGTACCTACTGTCATAAACTCCTTCTCCTTTTAAAAAGCCCATTCCTTCGCCATTAGACTGGATGACCACTAGGTTGGGGGAGTTCTCAGGGAAATTAATCTTTGTGATCAACTCAGACCTCGTAAGGTACCTCTCTTTGTTAAGCTGATCTATATGATCGAGTTCTTCTTGTATTCTTGGCTCCATACTTATCGTTAGGAAAAATAAATTATTATAACTCAAACTTTCAGCTTGATAGTTGTAAAAGGGGTTTTGGGGTTTTGGGGTTTTGGGGTTTTGGGG